GCACTGAGGATACAGACATAAAGTGGGTCCCTGCCCCACAGAGCATCGGGCCAGAACCAGGCACGTGTCCAGTCTCACAATGTGAGTCGAAGTGTGTGGTAGGTCCAGGAGCATGTGCCATTGTTCAAATACAATTTTCCTTTCTGTGACTGGAGAGATCTGGAATTCAATAAACTGCGCAATCAGGCAAGTTTCGTCATTACCCATAGAATTAACTGAAAGAATTCATAGCTATTGAAATATCTGGTTGTTTACTATCTCTTGTTGAAACTTAGTATTACATTTATTTAGTAAGGAAATGATACCTGCAATTCTGAAATACTGTAATCATGCGACTCTTTTGTGACTTTATTAGTTGGATTTGATTTTCATGGTAGTCTACAGGCTATTGGCTGCTCTTAAATCTTATAGGCATAGAGGATAATCCCTGTTATGAGGGTAGATTTAAGTAATAGTCTCTTAAGGGTGTTACAAGTCGAACTGCCATCTTTTAGGAGAGTGATTTCTTAAGTTATTTCAAATTCATCAGCTTGATTTGGGGATGACTTTATATTCTTTACTGTCCATTAAATGTTAATCTGGTTCAGATAAAAACAAAGTTCACTTTCTAAAAGAAATGACCTAAAAATAGTCAAATATCATAAGGTACAGATTAAGGATCACGGCTCTTCAGAACGGGTGAGAAACAAATGACGGGAGGCACGTCATCACGTACGCCACCTCTCGGTGCCACCACTGACTCATGATCCCAGGACAAAATAAAACGGCAAGTCCAGTTCTAAGGCCCCTCTTGATCTTCAACTCTAGGGTGTGTGAAAATCTGCCATTGTTAAGGGTGTAAAGAAATTCTTATTACTTTCTCTTTCCCCAGAATGTCAAATCAGGATCTGAAATGTCTTTACACATGAAAGAACCAGACGGGGACTGGGAAAAGGGGCTGGGCCTCGAGGTCAGACCAGAGTTCACGCCGTCAGTCTGCCACTTGGGCTTGACCTGGGAAGTCCTCTCCCAGGCTCCATGTCTGTACTACAAATGATGAGAATGAAGTCAGGAAGGTGGCCCCAGAGTGTACTGCTCACCTTCCACGGGAAATCCTACTTATCAACACGGACCAGCTTCCCAAGGGGTGGTTTGTAAGTGAAGCACAGATCTCGCATCCACTGCCCACGAAGAACTACGTGGAGCACAATTTTCTGGCAAGGCAACTGCCCGTAGTACATCAAATGGGGGGAAACATGGCTCCGTTAAAAATATAGCCTGGCTCTGGCTGGTTTGGCTCAGCAGTTAGAGCATCGACCTGCAGTCCAGAGAGACCCAGGTTCGGTTCCCGCTAAGGGCATGTACTTCGGTTGCAGTTTGTCCCCAGCCCTGGTTGGGTCGTGCGGGTGGCAGCCACTCGATGTGTCCCTTTCACGTCGATGTTTCTCTCTCTCTCTCTCTTCCTCCCACTCTAAACAAACAAACAAACAAACAAAAAAATATATATATATATATATATATATCTCCTGAGTGTGTGAGACACGTGTACACACACATTACAGACACTGGAAGGGTATACAGCCTGTATTTAACAGTGTTTTCTCCGGGTAGCAGGACTAAAGTTTTTTTTAAAAATCTTTTTTATATATATTTTTGGTACTGTCTTTTTATTTTCTTTTTCTTTTTATTATAATAAACATATTCTTTTGAGGATGAGGACAAATAAAACTCTATCTCTTTAATAGCATAGCAAACTGCCATTGTGGTTTCCAACCAGCCTCTTACCAGTTAAGCCAAGGAATCACTTCTCCTAGGTCAGAACCATGTTTACTGACACGACAGCTGTGACGGGGAGACTGGGGCACAGATCTGGTGTCTCTTCATGGTTCAGTGCAGTCCGAGCGCCTGGGTGTGCTGAGCCACCTGACCCCAGGGCTTCACATACTCCCACAGAAACATAACACCCACTTCCCTTACCTAACACACTCACGACGCACCAGCACGTCAAGGCAGGTGGTATGAAGAAGGCATGTGCTTTCAAGTCAGACAGACAGGAAGACGGACAGGACCGTCTCAGTTTTTCCATCTGTCAATGGGGACAATACGACTGGCTGAAGTGTTCCCAGGATTGAATAACATAGTCAGCAGACCACGCAGCATGGGAGGGGGACCAAACACATAGTAGCTACTATTACTGCCCTGTGTCCAGATCAAACAAAACAAGCTAAATTAAGCAACAGGGTAACAAGCAAGGAATATTTTATTGTACACATTTTCCCCCCAAAAAACCCACACCAACAGAACCCACAGACAGGAGCAAAGGACAAACTTCTCTAGCTCTCTGGGCTCCGCAGGCACCGCATCCCATAGAAACGCAGCTACTACAGGGACTAGATGGACGAATCAACATCGCCCTGCCTCCCCAGTCAAAAAGGCTACAGAGAATACATTTTAAATTGTATTCTAATGCAAATTTGTCGCACAAACTAAACTTCAACTTACTCAAAGAGTTACTGTATAATAAACCGCAGAAAATAGGAGTTGGCATTCAGGAATCCGCTCACATCAAATAAATATAGCCTGTGCTACATCTTTGTTAAGCTTCACATTTATAATGAGCAGATGGTCTGTCATTCGTAGTAACTGGTTTTACGAGACAGCAGATCCAGTCATGGAAGTAGAAAGTAATGTAAGAAAACTAAGTTTAGAAAACAGCTCTTTGGGTGTGAGCCACTATGGAGTTTATTACCTACTCAGGCCAGTTTCAACAGTTTAGAAATGTGGGCATTAACAAACTGACTTCTTGACGGAGAACCAAGTGACGCCAGCTGCAGCCACGTGTGCTGGGCAGCAGCACAGGACGGGACATGACAAACAGACGGACAGGAAAATGAGTGTCTCCACCCAACACTAGACTGGTATTTCTGCCACTTGAACTAATAAAGGGCCATTTAGAGAGACGTTTAAAATGAAGACTTGGCATTTTCTTATCCTGTACATACTAGAGCTAAACATAAGGATCTTCTCTAACATTCTGTACTTCTTAATCCGTTTGTACAAGTGAGCACGAGTATGCAGGAATGAAAAAACGAGTCAACGTTACCTGAAGAACTATTTTAAGTGGTCCATTTAAGAGTAACACTGTCAAAGGAAGGCAGTAACTATAAGCCTAGCTGTACTTTCCTTATGGGCCCAGTCAGTAAAATAGAGAAAATAATTTTTGCCCACCTCTTTAAAAAATATTACACTTGCTACTTGGTGTGTGGCGGAGACAAGGCGGCCAGGTGTGTCTCAAACAGAAAGATGAAGGCAGTCTCCGGCAGAGAGAACTACACTGCAACACCGCCTTTCCTGTTCCAATAGCACACCCGATTCTTCCTCAGATACACATTTCCTCTTGGATTTATATTAGCTTAACCCCTTCGGAGGTGCTATCACCCCTTCCAGTCTCTATGAAGCACTGGGGTTCTTCACTGAAAGAAGTTTGGAAGTGCTGGCATATTCTCGACAGCTGTGATGTTCTGCTCAGTCAACCACAGACATTTAAAAAAAACCACAGTTTACAGAATAAAGGAACACAAAATCACAGTTCCACACTCTTCATTGTGGCAAGGAATCGATGATATTACATTTTCCTTTCAGGACTTCATAAGATCCCCAGGATAGCACCTTTGGGTGGGCTGAACCCTAACTGAACACAAGTCAACATTCAGCAGTGCCATTTAGAGTCACTATCACTCAATTTTCCTTCCATATGATATTAGTAATGTACATTTTGCAGAAAGCCTAGAAAAAAATTTAAAGGAAAGATCTTTTTCAGGTGATATAAGACTAAAATTACAAGGAGCTAAAAACCCTCTGGTCTTATTTCTGAAGGCAAATCAATTTCACTGCGGATCATTGTAAAACAGAATGAGCCTGCCTCCTTCCCTCCCCTTAAAATGTGTGTCCCTTGGCCATTAAGACATGTCAGTTTGTCTGTCAACTGTTACAGTTCCTCTTAGCGACTGTTAAAAAACAGATTGAGTCCCTCAGTTGTATCACATAGAATAACATGTGGTCTTCATATGATCCCAACATAGTAATGCAGTACTGAGCCTTTATCAATATCCACTAGTAAGACTAACAAAATACTGTTGCTATTTTTAAATGTATCCTTACAAAAGATAGGCTTCTTTCCACCTCCATAGTCCTAAAGTAACAGGTACACGTACTACTCTGTTAAAAACAATCAAACAATAAATATCTGAATATTAAAAGTAGGTGCCCCACCCCCATCCTGGTACTAAGTGGCCAAAACCCTTTCAAAACACCATTTGATACAACAGATTTTGGAAGTTGTTAAAAAAGGAATTTATAAACTGGGAATCACTGCAGGACCTGGCTAATGCTTACTGCTCTGGGTTACCAGCTTCCTTGTATGAAATATTTAATATTAGTTATAATGACAAGCCAGCACTGTTTACAAAGCTTTGGAGTTCTTGTCTGGGGCGGACACTGAATTGCCAATGTCACGGGGGCGCATCTTGGAGCTAGAAATAGAACGTGTCTGTTAGGAGGGCTGGGCTGTCCCATGGAACAGAATGATCACCTCCCACCACACGCACGCTGGCCACTGGGTTTTCCATCCGTCCGTACTAACTGCAATGACAAAAAGTCAGGCGGCCTGTGTGACTCCCGTGGTAACAGCACCACAAAAACGTCTTGTCCGCGGGGCACGGGGGGAGGGGAGAGCGTGGACTGCTCGCTTAACAGAGAAATTCCACCCGCCACCGCTGCCCACCGTGGGGCTCGCTGCCGGCAAGGAAACCAGTGAAACGAGCCGCATGGTGGGTCAGCCCTGACGAGGACAGACATCTGGAACAAGTCTGTCAAGAACTGCGTACCCGCAGCACGCGAGGGAGGCATCTCAGGATGTAAAGTTCCTACTGTGTCCCCATGGATCAGGGGGGGGAGGGGAGAGAGAGAGAAAGAGGGAGGGGGAGGGGGGGAGAGAGGCCCTCCCTTCCCCACCCCACCCCACAGCAGAGCCACAGGTGCCCTGGGAGGCGCAGCAGGTGGAGGGGATGTGTGCTTGCAACTGCTGTAGAACCTCCTGGGCGCTAACTCTGTAGTTCAGTACTTTTCTCTACAATTCATTGGCTAGATTCATCTTGTCGTCACACCAGCTCACTGCTCACAAGGAAGTGTCGTCGGAGGCTTCCCATTCCTCCAGAAACCACTTCAGCTGAGCCTTCAGTCCCCACAGGTAGGTCCACAGATGCCCCGAAGCACACCTGCACATGTATTTTCCTGTGAAAAGTGTTGATCTGTGTTTAAGTGGCTACTCTCCATGCACGTGACAGTGACGGTGGCACCACAGGGACGGGTGGCATTGGGTTCACGCGGTGGCTGGGAAGGTGTGGACCTCGCTGGCTCCCGGGTCAGTGCGGAGAGAAGCCCGTGGCCAGGCTGCAGCCCACCACAGGCGTCATGTCCCATATCTGCAAGAAAGGAGATGCCGGGGGGCAGCACTGGTCACCTGGTCTGCCCGTGGGAGCCCACACTGCCACAAACAGCCGTGACACCGGAGAGGGGCCAACGAGACTCATCCTCGCGTTCTCTGCGATCACTGCCAAGCCGCCCCAAGACCGCACAGCGCGGAAACTCTAAGTGTGAAGGGGGCTTCTAGGTAGTATCTAGACACCTGAAAATTTATCATAATGGTGTTCTACTATTTTATTTTATTTCAAAAAAGTCCACTGGGGAAAAGCCCATTTTTGTTTTTATTATGAAATAATATATGTCACAGTTTCACAACTCAAGTGTGATACTAAGTACAAAACAGTTTCTTTTAGTTTCTGTGTTAGTGGGAATTAATGAAAAGTAAGTGTGATGATTTCTTATGACTCGAAGCCTTCCGCCCAGGATGAAAGAAACTTTAGCACAGGAAGGAGTAACCAGAGCATGCTGGGGAGGAGGAAACTGGGGGCTCATTCAGCCACATGGCAGCGACAAGGGGGCGCCAGGCCAAGGGAAATGCCAGGGGGTGCTCCGAGGCCAAGGGCGTGCAGTTTGTACTTCAGGCTTTCAAATGGCTGTGGGCTGCTTACGAAAAGGGAATGCAAGCTTGCCAACCAGAAAGCGAGAATGGACTAGAAATGTCTTATGCTCATTAGTAGCATGATGAAGGAGCAGTCAACAGAGATGCTAATTGGGACAATTAAGCCGGTTACCTTTACAACGCGATCGGTCCCACAGGTCACCATCAGTCCCCTAGCAACATCCATGGACATATGGGAGATGTTATGTTTTCCTTCATGAAAGGTTGCTAGAGAAGTCCGACTAACAAGGAGAAAAGAGACCATTTAGAACTCATCTGATTGTATCTAGAGCTGAGGGATACATTTTCTTAGTAACATAAAGGAAATACAGTTGCCCATGAACAACACAGGTGTGACTACATAGGTCCATTAACATGAAAATTTTTTTCAATAAATACATACAGCACAATAAATGTATTTTCTCTTCCCTATAGTTTTCTTAATAGCATTTTCTTTTCTCTAGCTTATTTTATTGTAAGAATACAGTAGTACACAATACATATAATGTACAAAATATGTGTTACTCAATTGTTTATGTTATTCATAAAGCTTCCGGTCAACAGTAGGCTATCAGTCGTTAGGTTTTGGGGGAGTCAAAAGTTACTGGTGGGTTTTCAATTGCCATAGGTTCAGCACCCCAAACCCCCACGTTGTTCAAGGGTCAAATATACTCATAATAACAGTGTTAAAATTTGCTCCCAAAAATGGGGCTACAGTTTTGAAAACTAACTTATAATTAAGGGGTAAGAAAAGTATGATAAGGTGTAAAACTGTTTCATAAAAGATTTATAAAACTCCCCAAATAACTGTTTTTGTTGTTGGTTGGTTGGTTGTTTTGTTTTAGTGGGAGGGGAGCATGTTCCTGGACATAAAAGCAAGCACCTTTCGTGCAGACGAGATCACCGGGAGGGCAAACACTCCCAAGCAGGCTGCAGGCTCCTGGGCCTCCCTGGCGCCCGCGGAGCTACTCTGCTCTGCAGCCCACAGCCCGGCCTCTGCCACCAGCTCACAGACAACACCAACAGTGCCCACTAGCTTTCCAGCTCGGGCCTCTGCCAAGGTTGGCCTGTCTACTACTTTCGAAGATGAATCAAAGCGAAGGGAAAGCAAATGACGGTTCTGCCCTAATGGATCTGCCTGGGTTGGGACAGGATGGGGAACAGACAGAAATGCCTTAACACAAATAGTTATTTAAGAAACGATTGCTAGATCAGATCTTGGTGGGGAAAAACCAACGGTCTCTGGAGTTTTCCGCTAATAAAATTTCCATGCAAAGGCGAGAGCATCAGATGCGTTTGGAAAGAACCAGCTCAGCCACTGCGTCAGTGTGCACGAGGCCATGACCCGGCCCAGCACCCTGAGTGCTCGGGGCTCAAATGTCCACTCAGCGGCTGGGCTGGTCCTAGCGACACCATTGCTCGCAGTGTTCAGGAGAAAGCTGTCCCATGTCAGAAAGCTAGAATGGGGTCCTCTCTTCAGAAGTCATTTCTGAAACTGGCAAACACGTGGGCAGAAGCACATCCACGTCACTCCCCATTTCACATGCGCAGTAAGACAGAGACAGGCAAACACTCACTCCTCATCTTTGATGGAGTCGTAACAGGAGTCACACATCCGGACCTGGAACTCGAAGCCCATGCTGGGGTAGCTCGAGCGCTTGCCGCTGCACTTGCCGCAGACAGCCTGGCCGCATTTCCTGCAGTGGTGCTGCGGGGCAGCCAGGGGAGAAGACGGTTCAGCTTGTGCTTCAGAGCCCGTGGCTCCCCTCGGAGGAGGGGAGTGGATGGGAGTGGGGAGGACTAGCCTGAATCACAAGCATCCCAATTCCATGCGGCAGTTACCAAGCAAAAGGTAGACAATTTCAGTATCTGACAAGCATTTCCAAATCACCTTACGGGATTGGCCAAATACTGCTTTTGTTCATTCATATTATGCCTTAACGTCAACAAACATTAAAACCAAATTCAAGTTCACTTAGGAGCCCAAATGACTAGAGATTTGGGTAATGATTCCTACATCAAAGGAAAGTTATGAAATAAGGTTTTAAATGTAATACGCTCTCATTAAAAACCCAACATCCATAATCAGATGTTTTACTATTTATTTCAGAATTTCAAATTGTGACTCTGCAAATAACCTTCAAGAACATTCCAAAATACTCCAGCCATTGTTACTGACTTGGACATACTCTTTTACCACCAAAAGACCTGTCATTTCCTCTGCTGTTAGTTGTTAACTCCTAAGAGTAAAACTAATGTCTTCATATTCCATTAGAAGTAGGGACTTCACCCATCAATTACAATGCACTAGTTACCACCAGGCATGCATTTTCAGAACTAGCTAACGAAACAATTCGGGTGCTATTTTCAGAGCATCAGAAAGTTTTAAGTGCTAAAATAATTCCCGTGTTGCCTGACAGTCTCATATTAGACCTTGCTGGAGAACAGTTTTGTAAGTAAAGTCTAAGAAAGTTTATCACCACACACACACTTCAGGCCAATTCTTCATAGAGGTGTAACCAGGAATAAAATAAGTAAAATCAGCATTCCTTTTTACTTATTTGCACAAATTCATATTAAACCTGAGTGAGTGGCTGGCTACCTTCAAGTCTGCTGTAAAAATGTATTTTTTTTTTTTGGTATAATTTTAGTATTATGTGAATACCTAGTGATAAGAGCATCTTTGTAATCTAAAGGCTATTGGGGACATGTTTCATTAAACAGAACTTGAAACATGCCTAATGAAAATATTCCAGATAGTTTTATGTGGAACCATTCAGGAGTAATTTACAGTATTTACAGGGTCACAGTATTCCAGTGAGGGCTGAGTTGTTACTTTGTAATGTGTGTGAAAGCAGGAGACTAGTATGCCCTAATTCATCCTAATTTGGTGCTTCGCTAGTGTGAAACAGAGATTTTAACGGCAGTCTAAGGGGAAACACCTGTATCTATTTACAAACAGGCTCTCGGTTTCCTACGCTCCCTGCTCTTCCAGTGCAGGACGAGCACGGGATAGTCAGGTAACAGTGTCTCTGGCCCCAGGAAAGGTCTTGCTCGTTATTGTCAGACAATGACGGTGACATGAAAAAAGTAGGAATTAATAGCATGCGTAGGGAAAAGTATGATGCCAAACAAAAGGACAGATTAACTACACAGATGACACAATACAACTAACCCTGTGGTGACTCAGTGCTGGCTACGCACCTGTCTCAACCCCAGCGTCTTCGTGTCCCACATCTGCTTTATGTTCCAGAAAAAGGGCTGCTCACACTTCTGGCAAGAATCACTTTCTAACCACTGAGGAGCCTGGGAGGAGAGAGACAGAGCCAACATCAGCACAGCGGCAGGTTGACCCTGAAATTCACACGACAGGTCTAGACATTGTTGAGGTTAGCATTTTTATCAAAAATCCCTCCATATATTACAGCTATTGCTGTATTCGATATTATGTGTGTGTTTTGAGTCATCTTTATCATTTTAGTAATGTTTATAAGATTGTTCAATTTCCGATCTATAGAAAAGAGGAAATAATTCCATTCTCACTGTGACCTCTTAGAGTTGTCTTTCTATATCTCTTTTTTAAATGCCAAACTTGCTTGAAATCTTGAACAAGTTGAGCAAAAACCCAATTCTTGCAGAATCTGGCAAACAACCACTTGGGGCAGTTTGGTGACCAACTGGAAAGTTCGCCTGGGTAGACATCAGGTCAGACAGATTTTCCGCCCCCTTTCCCAGGTCTCCCAGTGGGTCCCCACTCTGTACATCTACAGAGCCAAACTACAGACCTCATTCCAGCCATGAACTCTCTCCTACAGTTCTTTTTTTCATCCTCACCTAAAGACATTTTTGCATTTATCTTCAGAGAGAGCAGGAGGGAGAGAGGGAGGGTGAGGGAGAAACATCGACGAGAGAGAGACACATCGAGTGGTTGCCACCCACATGCCTCCAACCGGTGCCGGGGACAAACTACAACTGTGGTACACGCCCTTAGCAGGAACCGAACACGGGACTCTCTGGTCCACAGGCCGATGCTCTAACCACTGAGAATAACCGGCCAGGGCTCTACTGCAATTCTTTATGAACATTTATTCCCGCCCTCCTCCCCCACTTACCTATGAGTTACTCATTGGTCTTATCCATCTTTATATAAGTACAGCCTGTCATGAAGTAGGTTCTCAATACATTTTTGTTGAAAAGGACAACCAAAGTCTCAAAATTACACCCTGGCCAGTTTGGCTTAGGGGTTAGAGCATCGGCCCATGAACTCAAAGGTCAAAGGTTGGATTCCCAGTCAAGGGCACATACCTGGGATGCAGGTTCGATCCCTGGCCCTGGTCGGGGTCATGTGGGAGGCAACCATCGATGTCTCTCTCTCTCTCCCCCTCCTCCCTTCCACTCTCTCAATGGAAAAATATCCTCAGGTGAGGATTAACAACAACAAAAAAAGTCTCCAAATTACTTTCTTAAAAACTTAGAAAATATATCTATGTACAAAACACTACAAATTGTATTCAATAACAAGATGAACCTGTCAGAATATACTGATTATATAGTATACAGGGAATAAAAATAGAAAATATTAATATCTATAAATTAAACAAACAGAGATTATTAAGTAAGAAACCATCTTGAACTTGGAAGTTAACACTGAAGGAAAATGTCTCTGGGAGAGGGAGCCCGACGGGCGGGCAGACACAGCGCACGGACCCACTGACCGCGAGCACGCGCAGTGCGGTGCGAGCTCCCAGGCTGCAGGGGGGACGCTGGCGCTCGAGGATGGGTGCCCCTACTTCTGTTTCCCGCTGCACCGAAATGGCTGGCTTTCCTACTCCTTACTTTTGATGTGTCACTAGAAATACTTCTACGAATGACAGTCATTGCCAAGGTCGTGGGCAGGGAGCAGGGGCACACACACAGAATGCAGGGGGCGGAGCTAGAAGACAGGTCCCTCTAGGGAACTGCTGGAAGTAGGAGGGGGGGCAGGGAGCGCGACAGAGATGTGTCCTGCGGGAGAAATCACTGTCCTGACCTGGGGTGCAGACGGCTTCGCGTTGCTGAGATCAACCGGACAGGAAGGTGGTTTGGGACTAAATACTGTGCTGCCTGTGAGCACGCCCCTGGTGGACACAGACGACAGGGCAGGTCCATGGGGACGTCTAAGTGCAGGGGAAAGGAAAGCGGGTACTGACGACTCATCTTAAGTTTGCAACCACAGGCCGGCGTGACTCCTGCAATACCGCACATATGTGGAACAGAAAACCGTGCAAAGTTGTTCCGGGCGGCCCCAATCAAGTACGAGTACACACCTCGTGAGGACTGAATGAGTCAACGTGTGTGAAGGACTGAATGAGTCAACGTGTGTGAAGTGTTCACACAGTGCCTGGTGCACAGCAAGTGGGTCACAGAAGTCCAGGCACTGTGCCAAGTGCTCTATATGCTGCATTTCATTTAACGTCCATCACAAGCCTAAGAGATATGGGGCAACACTGTCCCCATTTACAGGCAAAGAAGTTGCCCAGAGACTGAAGCAGTGGATAAGTATAAAACACAGTTCAATAAATCTCTGCAGAGAAACAATGCCTTATTTTGTAATATTAACCAATGTTACATGTTTCATAACAAGTTACTCTAAGCCCTACCAAAATATTTTTAGAAAATTCAAAAAGAGAAATTAATCAGTACACATATGATCAAGATTTCCTCTACTTGTCTTATAAAGTCACTAAAAAAACCCGGCAATTGGTACTTGTCCATATCATGGCTGCATCTGACTATTTATAGGGTAGTCTGTCCACCACTAGATTACAAGCTTCCTGCAGGCAAGAGTCTCTGTGTATAGAACATGGTAACCATAAAGTCTGGAAACGAGTATCACTACTTTTTTAATAGTGTGAACCTCCTGGATTGCATCTTTTTTGGGGTATGCTAAAGATGCAGGTCTACCAGCGAGGGGCAGACTCACAGTACCCACAGCACACACAACGACACGCGCATGGGGTGGTGGGGACCCTGCACGCACACCTGGTGCCCACTGCAATGGTGCGCAGCACACGGAGCCATGCACTGCCGGAGGGCAGCCCCTGAAAATGCACCTGAGGCCAGGCGACATACGTGCATGGCCATGGGGTGCCAATAAACCACGTACGTGCACGTTCACCAAGTTCCCAGACTCCATGGCCACCCTGTAGGTGCCAAGTCCTTACATCCCTTACTCTCAAGTCTCCTCCGGAATCAGCTCTTTTATTCTCTACGTCACAGGCTGTCAATGCCTTTGGGAAAGGTGGATAACACTCATGCTGCAGCGGTGAAAATGGAAACCCTGCCTGGAAATCATCTGACATCTGTGAAAACCTTCAAGAAAGTACGTATCTTTGGCCCAAAAGGTCTGTTTCCAGAAATTTGTCTGAGATAAATACCTGAACAATCACAATGACAAGGTCAAGAATGTTCACTGCACACTATTTAAAACAGAAGAAAAGACAAGATAGTTTAGACAATGTGTCTGTCTGAAGGACTGAAAGGGCCTTGGAAGTCATCTCATTTGAATACTGCACTCTATGGAGGAGGGGACGGAGACCCGGGAAATGATGGCACTTCTCTAAACCAGGCCTCCCCACTAGGCAGTGGCCCAAACAAGTCCGATTCAGGTCTCCTGAAAGAACACCGTGTCAACATGGACTTGGCGGAACAGAACTCAGCAGAAAATAAAAGCAGAGAACAGAGACATATTTTTCCGGGAAGACATCAGGCACCCAGCTGTGGCCCTGGTGTAGCCACCTCTGAGTTTCCGGAACAGGTGTGCTGTGGGACCATCACAGTGCAGTCGTCCCCTGTGCTGGACACTGTCTCCAGTGTCCCCTCAGTGATTCTCAAGGCTGAAAATCAGCCTACCCGCTGTCTGTGTGCTGCCTGTCACTGTGGAAACTCGAATGGGCAGAGGATGTGGTGCAGACACGGGCACTGTCTACCTGCGCGGGCATTTACGGCCGGCAGGGTGGGAAACCGAGAGGCCAAGATCTTGGGGACAGCCCCTCGTCGCCTTGCCTGCCCCTTCTCTTACCTCCTCTCTGCTGACATCCATGTTCCACACGGCAATCCCACCATCCGAGGAACAGGAGACGAGCTGCCTCGTGAGCTGAAGGTAACACAGCGCCTGCACCCGGTCACTGCGGACGACACACACCGGCGCTCGACTCAGTGTGGGAACAGACATTGTCCTGGGGAGCCACTCTCTCCCGTCACAATCAGCCATTGGCACGTTATCACTGACGTTGGTTTGGTAATATGGATTTTCGTGTAATTACTTGGCTTTCTGTACCTTATTGTAGGTTCGACAAGACAAACACTACTTTCAGGTCAGCTGCTAAGAACTGCAGGACAGGAGGAGATGGTGCCTAGGGTTTCCTGAACCAATCACCATCCCGTGATTTCCCTGTCAGATGCACAAGATTTAGCTACTCATTCGGAAATGAAGAACAAAGGAGGCGTAACTCTCACCGGACACAACCATAAGAACAAGCGATCACACGCTATGGAGCTTACTGGTACACACGCACTCACGAGTACACACACATGTGCACATACTCACAAGTACACACACACACATGTGCAGACACTCTGGACACCCTGGGAAACAATCTCCTGGCCTGTCGGCTTGTATGGAGGGTGTTTCCAGGCCACCTTTGGTGTGCTTCCAGTTATGGTAAGCAGCAACCAGACGGCAAGAGCCTGAGTATTACAATGTCACAGCTCAGCCGATGCATCAAACCATATGTTCCTTCTTAATGACGTACGTTTTGGACTTTAAGACAGTTAGGCATTCAGTTCGAGAATGACTTAGTATCACATTATACACAATCTCCGTGGTCAAAGTCCTTAAGCTGATTATCGCAATGGGGTGGCTCACTGGGAGAAACTTGGGAAGTAATCTTTGGATGAAGAAGGAAGAAAATCCTGTGCTCTTTTTTGTCCCTTTTTTGCTACAGAACACCAGACACTCAGGACTAACAGAAAAGCAGTAAAAAGTGGACTCGGCCCATCCAGTGTGGCTCAATGGCTGAGCATCGACCCATGCACCAGGAGGCTGCCGGTTCGATTCCTAGTCAGGGCACATGCCCAGGTTGTGGGCTTAATCCCCAGTAAGGGGCATGCAGGAGGTGGCCAATCTATGTTCTCTCTCACTGATGTTTCTCTCTCTCTCTCCCTCTCCTCCCTTCCTCTCTCTGAAATCAATAAAAACATTTAAAAAAATGTAGACTCAGTGAGCCGTATCAAATGGCCATCTTCAAAACAGTAATGTTTCCCCTGCCTTCCCCAAACTCAGATTCCCTCCCCACCCCCAGAATAGTCACACACTGATGGCCCTGGAGCAAGAGCGTGCGGCCTTTTCTTCCTCCAATGTCCCACATGATGATGCTGTTGTCAGAGGCTCCCGAGAAGAGTAACCGTTGGATAGGGTCCCACCAGAGGGAGGCGACACTACCTGGGGGTGGGGGAGAGAAGGGAAGGAGGAGATAGGAAGGGGGAAGAGAGAGAGAGAGAGAGAGAGAGAGAGAGAGAGAGAGAGAGGACTGGTTAAATACAACTCTGTATTAGGACATACACATTTGACAGCGGAAGTCCTAACTAGCACAGCTGAGTCTCAGGACAAAAATATCTTTGCTCTGCAAAGGGCCCTTCAACACTTGCTGACAAGCTGTGGGGGAGACACAGCACGTCCACGCTCCCGAGGGGTGAGGCTGAAACCTCCCATTGCACACCAAAGACGACGTTCCCGTAAATGTTTCCGTGTTCTATACCACGAAATTATAAAACAGCTGTATGTGAAGGGTTAGCTCAGAAAAAGCTTTTGAAAAAAATTGCTGTTGATATTTAATGAGCACAGACAGTTGTGTTCACTGTGGTCATCTTATATAAGACAGAAATCTAGACTACTGCAGATCTCTGGGACTTGCAGGTGGTTTTACCCCAAGATGCCCATATTTAAGAAAAGCAAGTATCTCAAAGAAAACGTCTGCAGCTATACCACACAACTGTGCCAGAGAATTTAGATAAAAAATCCAAACCTTACATTTCACACTCTATATTGGCTAAATTTATCAAATTAGATGACCCTTGGGAAAACCAGATTTCTCTTTCAACAGATCTCGTTGTTATTCCTTTTTTGCTGCTTACCTAGAACAAAACGATTAACAAACTTAAAAATGAACCAGCCATACAAGCGAATCTTTTCGGTGGATATATAGAAAACAAATGAAGTCATATTCGAAAGCAAACAACACAGCTTGTTTCTCACAGAAACTTCGAAGTGGGAAAGAAAGTATTCTGCAAAACCGGCTTTAGAGATAATTTTGTACGAATCCTGACCCTGTGTAAGCCCAGGCCCCACACACTTCAGCTAGAGGTCTAACAGCAGACAAACACGATCTTTCTATACGGACAGGACCAGGTAGTTACCAGAACCCGCTCTATCCTAGCAACACAGAGAACACGTAAGAGCCTGGAGTCAGGAGACTGTTATCCATACATGGAAAGCGGTGTCCTCAGGGGCTGAGCTTCCCTGCCCACGTCCATTCTAACTTACGGTTCTTCTCTTCCTCTTTCTTCTACAAGGTCCCTGTCTGATGGACTTGGTTTCACCTAAGCAGTTCAGACAGCACGGAGAATATTTAACTTGCTATAATTAAGACGCTATTTTTGTGAAAGTCCATCATTAATTCTTTTCAACAAATCCCCAATTCTTCAATCTAAACCAGATGGCCTCAAAACTTCTAATTTGTCACCTAATACAGCCAATTGAGTTTTAAAACCCTTTCCTGGGGCCTTGCCCACTCACCACACTGCATAAGTAATGAAATTCCACCTGATCCCTCTTTTCCCTCAGTCCCTACCCAGGGGCGGTTTCCCAAGTAGCGGCCGACCCAGCCCATACATTGCTTTTCATTGTTCTGATCCACTGGTTAGGTTTTGTTCAGTGTTCCAGAAACTGACAAATTGAAAATAATAATAACATTCTTGAACAGATTTTACCATTTACAAGTAACTTTAAAAGATCTTCTGAAAATAGTTTAATTGAAAAAGATGAACAAAGTAGAAAGTATTATCCACACAGCAACCTAGAAGGGGTTCTGACCATACGAAACCCAGCCCAGCACCTACCTTCACTTAGCCGTCCCTCTGTGAGATCCAAATCCCTGTCTGTCCAGTCAAACTGAGATCTGACAGCTCACAGGGAGCTGCTCATCCATGAAACCAGAGCCGAGAACATCTAAATGCCCAAATCGGGTGGAAAACCTGTGGGAGACGACGCAGCCTACCTTCATGCCCTTTGAGGGTTGTGATAACTGAACAGGTGTTCTGTTCCATCTTCAGCAAGGTGATCTGTCCAGAATAATCGCCAACAAAAGCATACTGAGTATCGAAATCGTATCTGTGGGGCAGAGGTCAAGGATCTCGAACACAATTTATCTCAAAGATATAAAGCAGAAAATGTGCGCTTTGAAGAGAATAAGCACAAACTGAAAACTCTAAGGAAGGAAATACCCAACTGAAAATCATGCAATATGTAAACATTTTACAAAGAGTTTTAAGCTGGAATCATGGGGAAAACTAATACTCAATCATTCAACAAGAATTCATTGAATACCTGTTCCTCCTTGAACCAATGTCCTAGAACTTGGCAATAAAAATGCTAACAGCTGACTGAGAAGACAGACATGAAAACAAGTAGTTATAATCAAATTATAACAAAATGCAAAAAAGTACAATACTCAATAATGAAAAAAGCAAGAAAGAACTGGAAGAAAATGGCTATTTATGGAATGTCTCTGGAAATAATGTTAAGACCGACAGCAAGTACAGACATGAACCCATCCTTCCTTTGGCCCAGATGATTTAGCTTGAAGCCAAGAGGATGGTTCACTTCACATTGCTGTGGAGAGTGCATCAACCAAGAGGCAGTTATTTGGGGCAATAGTAAATTTAAATTGTAAAAATATATTAACTCATCACTTTTTCAGTGATGTTACGGCCGTGGAAATTTGTGGCAAATCAGCAGTTGACACACAGCAGGGCAACCACCACTTAAAGGTCAGAAGGAGCACTGTGGCTGGGCCACAACCGCGACTCTGTGCCATTTGCTCCCAATGCATATGAAAAGCCTAACTCAGAACAGAAACACTTATTTCACACATAACATATCTGAGTATTTTCCCTTGTTTGAGTCTAAAGTGTATGGTACCATTTTAAATGCTTAAACATCTCACGCTGCACATTAATTTGTAGCAAACCTTTTTTTATGAAGGCTTTCAATGGAAAAAAAGAATTTTACTACGCCAGATGTCCAACTCTGACAGCCCTGACTTTGCTGACACTAAGATACACTGCGACCACAGCTAGTCTTCGGCAAGGGCCAACTCCACGGGCAACATTGCATTTACCCGTAAAACATGTTAAAGCAGCAATTTCTTAACATCTTGGAGGTGCTGAGGCACCTTTGAGAGTATTATAAGAATTATGAACCCTCCCCACACACACAAACTATAAAATTTGTAGCCCATTATGAACTCCAGGGTCACAAGCCTTATTATATTTATATTCTATTGCAGGGTCTCCAAATAACCAATTACTAGAAAATCAATTCCTTTTTTCTTTTCTTTCTTTAACAAAAAGTCTTTCCTTTAACTTTGAAATGTAAAGGAAGAAGGGGAGGGGTTTGCATTAATAAGGGTTAGGTTCTCCAAGACTTGGTATTAAAAACGTATAGTACTTCCCAGCAGGGAATGATAAATCATTTAATAATTATTTTTAATAAACCAATTTTATACCAAGCAAAGTAGTTACACCAATTCTTAGATTTTAGGTGAAAAATCAGAAATCATCCAGTGTTTGGAACTCAATTAACAATTTATTCTTTGTTTATTTTTGTTTTTTTCTTTTAATTTTTTTTCTTTTTGCGCATTTCCCTCTTTCTTTTCTTTTGTCTTTTTTAATTTTTTCATATTTTGTTTTGGATTTTCATTTCTTAAAAATTTCTATTTTGGTCAATTAACAATTTATTCTTTTCTTTAACTTTTTTTCTCTTTTTGTGCATTTTCTTTTTTCGGTTTTTTTTTGCTTTTCATTTCTTAAAAAATTCTATTTTTTTGTGTTTTTGTCAATTATCAATTTATTCTTTTTTCTCTATTTTATTTTTTGTGTTTTGTTTTTATATTTTCTTTTCATGAATTTTCCTTTTATTTTTTTCATATTTTGCTTTGTTTTTCATTTCTTTAAAAAATCTATTTTTTGTGTTTTTTGTCAGTTAACAATTTATGACCCGGTTCAAAACGAATTATTGAGACAAGGAGCCCAAGCAGGCGGAGGCCCAGCCCTTCAAAGGACACTGCAGACAGGAAGCCCAGGACGTGAAGACGTGCCTCCCGAGCACGTCCCCGCTCCGGGTGCACATCCAGCTGACACACTTGTCGTGACCGGTGCTGACCACCCACTCTGAAGTCACGCTGAAGATGATCGCAGACACCCGGTTCTGATGAGCTGTAGGAACAGAAGGGAAGAGTCTGTGCCCTTCAGGAAGAAATGCGACCTTCAGAATCCAGTCTCGTGGGGTGAGAACTGAGGGTGACCTTCTCGACCTGGCTGGCCCAGGGAGGCGCAGACAGCCCGGTCACGGGATTGCCTGACTGTGAGGTTATCAGATCTGCTCTGCCCCGGCTCCCGACTCGGCTCCCAGGGCCCTGCCCCGCCTCGGACCCGCTGGACAGTCAGAGCCACAGACCATGGAAGAGTATGCTCAAGAGGGATTCCAATAACAGATCAGAGGACAGATGTTCACTTTGGGTAAAAACCCTCCCTACTAGTGAGTCCCATATGGAAAGCAGCAGCCGTTTCTTAAAAGAGCAACTTTTTCATTGTTCATACTTTAGTGTTTTGTCTCTTTAGAAAATACTGGCATTGCACACAAGAGCAACGATATTTTCTGTAATTAAGAAGTAGTGTAATTTGTGTGTAACTTTTTATTATTTATAAAGTATTGTGAAGTTCTATATTCCAAAATAACAGCTAAGAGTGAAGAAAGTGTTCCAACTATGACTTAACTTATGGAATATTTGTGTTTCCAGGTTAACGTAAGCCACGTAAGTGACAAATGTCTACTGCACCTGGCTGTAGACCTTGCGTGCAGCAGGTGTTTAATAAGTGCCTGGTCTGAATGAAGTCAGAGGCTAGACAGAGAAACCTGGCTCTCAGCTGTACAGGTTGCTTCAGAAGAACTGAGGAAGTCTGTCTATAAATTAATTAGAAAACACTGCAACTCCCTGGGAATATGGGCTAAAGCATGAACAGACATTCATAAAGGATGACAGAAGGGTTAGCGTTACATACACCCTACATAATCATTTTAACTTGGGAGCTCTTGTGACTATCAAACTGGCAGAGAGCACTTACAAAGAGCACTGTTATAAAGGTTTAGAGAGCAGGCACTCTCAGCCTCCACTCATAGGGTTGCAAAATCTGCACACCTGCTGGGAAGAGGTTTGCAAATAAATCTAGAGCATTAAAAACTTTTTAACATTTGACCCAGTTATTCCACTTTTATGAATTTGTCTTAGATAGAAGTAATTAGAATCAGAATAACAGTCAAAAACACACGAACATACATATATATGAAATGCACACACAGATATATATACACACATGCACACACATACACTATCATATCTGTTAGTGAGTGGTTGTCATCAAAAAATGGAAGTAGTATTCATGTTCAAAAATAGAAGAATGGCCCTGGCCAGTTTGGCTCAGCGGTTAGAGCGTCGGCCTGCGGTCCGGAGAGACCCGGGTTCGGTTCCCGCTAAGGGCACGTACTTCGGTTGCAGTTTGTCCCCGGCCCTGGTTGGTCGTGCGGGTGGCAGCCACTCGATGTGTCCCTTCACGTCGATGTTTCTCACTCTCTCTCCCTTCCTCTCTCTCCCTCCCACTCTATCTGTACAAAAAATGGAAAAAATATCCTCGGGTGAGGATAAAAAAAAAAAAAAAAAAATAGAAGAATGGTTAAATCTGATACATCCACCCAAATGGACTAGTATACAAAATGTTAAATGTTAATAAGCAGGTAAAGAATAGTAAATAACACCAAAAAACTAATAGTCTCTCACATAATTGGGGTAACATAACTAAAAAGTTAATGTGAAAACCTAATTTTGATCATATGAAATGGTGTCCTACTCTTGAATTTTTTATACTCTTGTATTTTCCAAATTTTGTGTCCTAGTTTTGTGTACGTAGATCTACTTCTGTGTTTGTGTGTTGTGTGTGTGTGTGTGTGTGTGTGTGTGTATTATAATTACCTGGATAGGTCTTGATAAAGTTCATTTTATTAAAATCTTCAGAAACATGAAATTCCTAAAAACAAAAACACATGCAATAAGAAAATAATTGCGATTTAAAAAACAACAGTAACTTAACTTTGACAACAAAGTGAGATCCAGAATGAACTATCATCAGAACCGGGGCTGGAGATCAGCTATACAACAGTAATACAGATTGCTCTTTCTATCAGACCTGTCCTCAGGCTACCCTTTGGCTTGGGGACCAGATCAAACTAAGCAGTGCCACGGACCAGCACAGCATTTCTGTCCAGTTCTTCTTCCACCAGTGGGTGCTTTGAATCCCCTTCTCCTTCTAACTGCAAAGGAAGTATCTTGCTGATTTTTCCCTCGGCTACACCAAAAATTCCTCAAGATGATATGCATAAAGCAAAATTGCAAAGACCCCATTACTAAGAGAGTTCTCAGCTACAGTGAAAATAAAACAGGGTATTTCAGCAATGTAAGGGAGAAAACTAGACATATTTAATATAAACACAAAAAAAGAAAATTAAGAGGTTGTGGGTGGTTTTCTTTTTTTATACTCTTGTATTTTCCAAATTTTTATACACTATATAATACTTTATAACTAGAAAAATTAGAAGCTTACTGAAAAAAATAAGCTTCAACATACAACCAAGAACATAAAATTCTAAAAAAAAAAGCCCTAATAAAACATTCTGTCGACCAATATACTAAATTGGTAAGTTCTTAAGGCTCTAGGCAACATGGACTTTATAAATTGTTGACTGCTCAGACTGAAAAAACAAAAATACTAATTCCTTGTTCTCCATCTCGGTTTTGCAAACTATAAAAGAGTATTAGCATTTTAAAGACAGTAATCTGTACTGGGTAGAAGATCAATAGATCAATAGCTAACTAACGATAGAGTGGATTTACATTGCCCTTTCCACTGAAGAGTTATAAGAGTTTCTATAGGCCATCCTATTACTTATCCCTTGAACCAGGAGCCACAAGAAGGTCCCTAGAAAAATAAATGCTCCACGGTTGCCACCACTTGAGAAAGAATTTGAGACTGAAGTTCGTGGGCCCTTGTTATACCTGTACAAGCACATCACCAAGATAGCCCTGTAAGATTTTCAGAAGGAGAAGAGCCGGAATGTGCATATTCCACTACAGAACGTATTTACAGCAGCCCCAGGCTCACAGGGCACCGAGCTCATCAATCCCCACCTACAGCCCCAAGTCCTTACCATCTGCCTACTACTGAGTGGATTGTTCATGCTGAGAACCTGTCTTTGTACTGGCTATTTCCTTCTTGGCCCAGAAAGACATAAACAACAAATATAAACTGAAGAAGAAATAGAAAATTTATAACAAGTGAGTGAAGGGATTAAATTAGTAGTCAAGAAACTTTCCACAATGAAAAACCCAGGACATCAGACGGTTTCTCTGGTAACTTCTTCCAAGCTTCAAGTCTGAGTCTCTTAGTACTCAATAATTTTTTTTTTAATTTTATTATTTTTTTATTTTTTTATCCTCACCCGAGGATATTTTTCCATTTTTTGTACAGATAGAGTGGGAGGGAGAGAGAGAGAGAGAGAGAGAGAGAGAGAGAGAGAGAGAGAGAGAAACATCGATGTGAAAGGGACACTTCGAGTGGCTGCCACCCGCACGACCAACCAGGGCCGGGGACAAACTGCAACCGAAGTACATGCCCTTAGTGGGAACCGAACCCGGGTCTCTCTGGACCGCAGGCTGACACTCTAACCGCTGAGCCAAACTGGCCAGGGCTTTTTTAAATTTTAAAATGGGCAAAGGTCTTGAATAAATATTTCTCCAAAGAAGAATTACAAATGACCAACAAGTACATGAGATGCTCAACATCACTAGTCGCTGGGTAAACGCAAATGAAAACTATAATGAGATACCACTGGGATGGCCACATTAAAGACAAAATAACCAGTGCTGGTAATGATGTAGACAAACCAGAACCCTTACAAGCTGGCCGTGGGAATGTACAGGGGTACAGCCACTTCGAAACAAACAGCTTGGTGGTTCCTCAGTGAGTTAAATACAGACTTAACCATATGACTCCCAATTCCATTCCTAGGTATATATACCTAATAGAATTGAAAACTTGGGTTCACATACAAACTTGCACATGCATGTTCATAGCAGTATTATTCAGAAAAAAAAAAAAGTGACAACAACCCACATGTCCATCAATTGATGCATGGATAAACAAAATATGGTCTATCTACATAATAATAAAAAAGAATGAAGTACTAATTCAAACTATAATGCAGATGAACCTAAAACATTACGGGCTAAGTGAAAGAAGCCAGACATGAAAGGCAACACATACTACATGATTCTACTTACATAAAAGGTCAGAACAGGCAAATGCCTGGGCTCAGAAAGGAGACTGGTGATTGCCAGGAGCTGGGAAAGGGGAAGGGGGTGTGACTGCTAATGGGCTTGGGGTTTCTTTGGGGGAGGGGATGTGATGAAAATGTTCTGGAATTAGAGTGTTAATGGTTGTATAATCTTGTGAACATACCAGAAAACCATGAAATTGCACACTTTAAAATGGTGAATTTTATGGTATATGAATTATATCTCAATTAAGAAAATATATATATGTATATATACACATAGATGCACACAATCTGACCCACAAAATACCAATCTACAATAAATTAGGAATGTAAATATCTGATCCTTCACCAAACATATCTTGTGAAGCACTGCCCTAAAAAGCTAGACAAGTGGTTGGTTGAATGACTAATTACTAATGTCATTCTCCTTCCCCCTTCCTGTAACAGGTGTGCATGCATGCATGTGTGCGTGTGCATGTGTGCGTGTGCATGCATGCATATGCACACACCCAGGTTCCCCACCATGCTCTCCTGGCCCTGGCCCCCTTTGTGGTCAGGGATGGGGCTGCTACCGGCTCGAGTCCACTGCGCGGAGACCGTGCCTCGTGGGCCTGCACACCCTACCACCCGTCATGACAGCATTGAGATCCATGGAACTTATTTAAAATTAAGCGCTCATTAAAATTAATTCATGTTTCGGTCTAATAGCTATACTGAATTCAATATTTTCTATGCCAATCAGGCATTCACTGTTAACTTTATTTAAAATGTCCAACAGACACGAACATGGGGAGGTTAACATAATGAATAGGTGCTGAAAAGTACCTACCATGACGGCTCCGTTATCCTGGCCCACAAATATCCGTCTGCTATCGTGATGGTAAGTCATGGCTGAGCAAGGAGCTGCCAGAAAGACAAAGACCGTATTACCAGCAAAGCTAAGCACTGGGGCATTGTTCAAAATTCATTATCAAGCCCCGCCGGAGTGGCTCAGTGGACTGAGCACCGTCCCATGGACTGAGAGGTCCTGGCTCGATTCCTGGTCAGGGCACATGCCCGGGTTGTGGGCTCGATACCCGGTAGGGGGTGCGGGAGGCAGCCGATCCATGTTTCTCTCACGTTGATGTTTCTCTCTCTCTCTCTGTAAAAAAAATCAATAAAAACGCTTTTTAAAAAAAAAATCATTACTAAAAAGAGCTAAACGATTTACGTTAATAAAAAAAAGAGGGCAGCACTGGCCAGTCAGGCTCAGTGGTTAGAGCGTCGGCCTACGGACCAGAGTCCTGGGTTCGGTTCCCGCTAAGGGCATGTACCTTGGTTGCAGTTTGGTCCTCAGCCCTGGTCGAGGTCGTGTGGGTGGCAACCAGTCAATGTGTCTCTCTCACATCCATGCCCCCCCCCACTCTATCTGAAGATAAATGCAAAAAAAGAGGGTAAAATGGTTTTGTAAAAAATAATGATGTAAATTGAAAATGCTATTAAAGATCTTTCTGTTGTTTTAATTTAAAATTCTCATATAGAGTTATTTTTAAAACTTTGGGTGAAGCGATCCAGGACGAAGTTTCATCTGACGCTTCCGGAAAGTCTGGGACCAGTGCTTACAGTGCGTGATCCACCCTCAAATTCAGCAGGCCATCCCCCCCCCCATCACAGGTAAGAGCAGCTGTGATGTGTGGAAAGAGGGGCTCCCAGTACTGGAATTCCCACTCTGAGGCAGATGTGAGCAAGCTGAAAAAACCACTTTGGAATTACTTTTCCCCCTCAACGGCCAAAAAAGGTTCCCTTGTACAATGACACAAACCCCAGTGTGTAGTAAGTGAATTTGTGAGGTGAAGACACTTTTCCTTGTCCACAGCAGGAGCATGTGACTGGGTAGCACCTGTTTCCTCATGTACAGACCCCTCCGGGTTCTGGCTACCCCTCCAGACAGCCTGGGCCAGATAATGAGTTTCAGGAAAAAAGAAACTCTACCTCATCTCCTTCTGCTACAAATCAGAATTAATGTGATTTAGAAAATGGAACATTTGGCAGAGGAAATGTTTGGGTTCATTTCAGCCGAGGAATTTTAAGTGACCAAGGAGGAGCCACAACAAGGAAATGCATGCCAAGAAAAAACAACAACAAACTTAAGTTTACTTTGAAATAAAATTGCTTATGAAAAAGGAAAAAAAACATATACATAAAGTCACCATTTGAAAATTGTTTAATTTAATTTCAAGTTCTCTCTCTATAATGGGCTAATATTCTTCACCAAAGGAAGAAAATAAACCATAATACTGGATTGCATTCAAAGGCAAGAACACAGCTACCTGCATGATCAACCTACAGAAAGTGACTGTTTGAGTTGCAAAGAACCACCTGCTTGAAAGATAGGTACCGCTTTTGTCTGTACACAAAACAATTAGAAGTGACAAGAAGCCTGTACATCCTTATTCACCATATTGCTGAATAATTTGCAGCCCAAGCTGCAAAAAATGATCATGTTTAAGAATTATAACCAAAAGCTGTGGTACATATACACAATGGAATACTATGCAGCTGTAAGAAAGAAAGATCTCTTATCCTTTGAGACGACATGGAGGGACATGGAAAGTATTATCCTAAGTGAAATAAGCCAAGCAGAAAAAGACAAATACCACATGATCTCACTTATATATGGAATATAATGAACATAACAGTCTGAGGAATACGGTAGACCCAGAAACATGGAAGTAGGGCACAGACTGACATCCCTCAGAAGTGGGGGTGGGGGGGGTGGGAAGAGATAAACCACAGAACTTATATGCATGTATGCATGACCAATTGACATAGACAACAAAGCCGGGGACGGGGCAGGGGTGGGGTGGGGAAGGGGGTGCCAATGGGGTAAAAAAGGAGAAACATCTGTAACAAATAAATAAATAAATAAATTTTTTAAAAATTTTAGCACAAAAAAAAAAAAAAAAGAATTAGAACCAGTGTGGCTCAGTGGCTGAGCATGACTCATGCACCAAGAGGTCACCAGTTTGATTGCAGGTCAGGGCACATGCCCAGGTTGTGGGCCTGATCCCCAGTGGAGGTGTGCAGGAGGTGGCCAATCGATGTTCACGCTCATCAATGTTTCTATCTCTCTCTCCCTGTCCCTTCCTCCCTCTCTTAAATCAATAAAGAAAAAAAAAGGTTTTTAATTTATAAAAGAATTATAACCACAAAGATATATATGTATCTTCATATACAGCCCTCTTTAATAACCACACATAAAATTATCATTGGCAAATCAAATCACGCTTTGATGATTTCAAAGATTCACTGTCATCATTTTTACTCCCTTTTCAGCTGGTACTAAAATCTTAATGCTTTAAACTTCTTTTTAATTCTTTTTATGCCTAACCCTCTAACAAACTGTTCGTAAATATGTAAGTCCTTTTTTGTGTAAAAAATACACTGTGCCGAGTTATTTGGTGAGGCTGTAGAATTCTTGTAGTTTAAACAAAAAGCTTCCCTAGTTTATTTGTCTTGTATATAAAGATGTCTTGGCTTTTATTCCTAGAAGAGAAGCTTCTAGTGAGATAAGCAATAAATTTTTTTTTTAAAGTTTGGATATTCTCATAGTTTTATAAACGAACAAAATATAAATCTGTGGCCTACTGCTGTCCCAAATCATCTGCTTCAACTCTAGTTTTGTAAATAAAGTTTTTGTTTTGTTTTCCTGCAAGACAGCCAGGCTCCTCCTTTTTGCATTGTTTGTGATCACTTTGTGCTACAAGGGCAGAAGAGTTAATAGTTGCCACAGAGATTGTTTGGTCCAAAAAGTCTTAATATTTACTGTCTGGCCCTTTCAGAAAAGCTCAAGGACCCACCCCAGAACTGTGGTGGGGAGCACAGTTTTGGAGTCAGACACGCGTGGCCTGGAATTCCTACCACAAGCAATCAACTTAACCCCCCTGGCCTCCGTTCCCTCACCTACTAATGGTGAAAATATCACCTTCCTTCCCCAGTTGTTGTGATGGCTTCATAAAGTGACATTTTTTTTTTTTTTAGGTCATGAGGTACACAATAGATACAGAAACTAAGGGTTACTGTTTTTCTTCAGCTAAGGCAGATTGTGAAAGTTGTTTTTGTTATGGGAGGTAATATTCTGAAACATAATCAGATTACATATAGCAATACACAAAGGCCTGGCTCATTGATCAGTCAGGTCCTGGGAAAAAGTCTAAATTAGTATCTTAAATTGGGTAAATCTACAGACAGCATTTAGAGCCAACCTGCACTTCTCTTCTCATATTTTGAATTTGTTTTAATAAAAGTCATGACTTTTATTATTTGTAAAAGTCATCCTAAAACAGACAAGCAATTATTTCTCAGAATTCATTCATTCTGTTTTCTCCTGGCAGTGTTCCTGCAGCTGCATCAGTAGATCCATCTCCAGATGAATGCAGTAAAGAAGCTTCTGGAAGCAACAAGCTAAATACGTGTAAGTACAAACATGCAGCAGTCAGCAGAGACGCTGGGCCTGTTCTTTCCAGTTTCTATGGTCTCTCCAGCCACAGTGTTCTGGGAACTATTTCCAGGGGTACCATTAAGCCAGGTTAGCAAGGAATGGCCAAAGCCACGTGCCCTGGACCTAAGAGCCAAAGAAGAGTAACCTCTTCTGCCAGGTTTCGGTGCCTGGGACAGAAATTAATTACAACGCTGTGTGCTAAACATCTGGGCAAACTACAGTCAAAGAGTAACTGAACTGAATGTAGAACACACTCCGTCTCAGTCTCTCTCTATCTGAATGCGCATGAACTAACTCCAAGGCTCCTCACCTATGGAGATTAACCTATGGCCAGAATGTGAAGAGCGGGGAAAGGAGAGATGGGAGGAGTCACGGCAGCAGCTTTACCAAGACTGTCCGCACACGCAGTGAAATACCCCAGCACTGCACGGTTCCTCGGGTTTCACTACTTCCAGTTATCGGATCCATCCTCGGGCCGCTGGAAGGCGTTATCAGTCTGAAAGAAACCCTTTGTTTCGTTGGGTAAAGGGTGGGCTCAGAGGCCCAAGGTTTCCCACTCTCCTCTGCCCCCCACTCCAAAAATATCCCAAAGTAAACTGATCGGACAGGCCCCATGAGCAGGCTGATGATGACATCAGTCACTTCATATCTCAGAGGAGTAACCAAGGTTATGCTTCCTCAGCAAATACAACAAATTATGATTAGATATGCTTCTAACGTGCTCCATATTATAAAGTTTTATGGTGCCTTTTATAGCAGTGACCTTTACACCAGTAGACCAACAAGCTGACTTCATTTTCGGCGAGTGGCGATGGAGACAGGTGCTGAGAAGCCTGCCCGCACTGCAGGTGCAGACAGAACAAACGGCGCCCTGGCCCGCTGCGCGCGGTGTGCAGCGACTGACCACAGGATCCGGGCAGTGCACGTGCACGTGCACGGGAACACGTGCAGATGAGAAAGTGCGGGCCCAGAGAGGGTGCCGGGGGGATGACACCCTGACTGCAGAGAATGGGCTGAATAACCGGCTGCCCTGTGTTTCCAACAACCCCGCTGCCCCATGAACAACCCCGAAGAAGGCTGTCGCCAGTGTCTGGAACAACTGGCAAGAGGTCTTCCTCGGAGAACTTGACAATGGCCTTCAGAAGCAAAGCCATCCCGCATGCCCTAAAGCCTCTGTTCTTCTCCCAGGGGGTCCTCTGAATACTGCAACCTTCACTGAGGAAAATCCTCATTAGAGACCAAAACCACAAGGAAGTTAGCAGCTCTGGACGCCTTCTGTGTGGCCATTTGGGATAACACAGTCCAACCCAGCTGCACCCCGACAGGGCTCTCTCGCAGAAAGGATGAAGAAAGAGGGGGGAAGGGTGGCCCTGCTGCTCACATCCACAGGAAGCACTGGAATTTAAATTAACTTCCTGTCGCTACAGCCAGGGCGGCCTTAAAAACCTCAATGCAAAAGAATGATCTAGATTTATTTTTAGAACACATTTAGCTACTGAGAAAACTCTCTGTTTAGAATGTGCTGTCCGTGGGACCAAATCTTCATTGGAACCCAGAGGGCTGTGAGAGGGTTGGGCACAAGGCCAGTGAGGAGGGTCTGGGGTGTGTGCAGAGCCCCTTTTCAGGTCAATACCAGCTACTCCTAAGTATAAAGTCACTACCAGGGTAAGTTGGCAAAATTAAGGAACACCTGTGGGGGGAGGGGAGGCCCCTCCCTTTTTTATTTCGTTTTGCTCAAGTTTGCTTCAGTTAAGCCAGTAAACCCAACTTCCTCTGCAGCTTTCCTGCAGTTGGGCACAGACTGCGGGAGGTATCGGCAACTGAGGACCTCATTCCGAAAGCCAGCAGCACTGGTCCCTGAGCCGCTTTGAAATTAAATCACCAAGGACATGAGAGACCTGTCCCGCTACTTACAGGCCATTGTGTGGTAGATGCTGGGCCAGTACTGGCCGCTGTCTCTTTTCAGCCATACTCGGATGGTTCTGTGGAGGAAAGGAAAGAAACAAATAGCAATTGTATCTTCCTGTATGCTCCTGTAAAATGTATTTCTTTTATTTTCAATACTGTGTCCCAATTAACTTACAAAGTTAATCAATTGGACAAACACATACAGGAGTGGGCAAAAGTAGGTTTACAGTCCTGAGTCCATGAAACAGAGCTAATAAAGGTCCTGTAATCAGCATAACCTGCATGTCTTCTTCCACACAACAACTGTAGACCTGCTTTTGCCCATGCCTGTACATACACACATTCATACAGTATATAGTACATTTACATACAGCACGAATACTCTATATACACACCTATTACATATAGTCATACTGTATATCATATGCCCATATGTGGTAAGTCAGGAGTCTGGATTTGAAATCACTAACAATATGGAAAATGCTCATGATCTACATACAAAGAAAACGGAGACTCATTCACTGCTTCTTGGTAGAACCGAACTGTGTGGACGCAGTGGCCCGACGTGTGAGCCATGCGGAGAGCCGGTGAGCGTGGCAGGGACGTTTCTGGAGATCCTGGAGACGCGCGTGCAAAGCAGAGCCCACGCCACAGCTCGCTCACCCAGAACCCCCGTCTCCACGCCAGGCCTTGGGGACTCTGCTTTCCTCAGGGAACACACAGATGAGGACATCCGGCGCACGGGCCGGGAGTGACAAATCGCTAAAATAGCCCAAGTTCCACGTTTTGGCTAGTTTCTCGAGGAACAGCAGGGAATACTGTGACCCCTGCTCGGCCATGTGACCCCTGCTCGTCCGCTCGCAGAACCTCAGAGCGCTCTGCCCCGTCTCCTGTCCCTGTTGTCAGCGCTGTCACAGTCATTCCTGCGTTCCTAACAGTGACACAGATTCTGGCACCCAGCCAGCACCGGCTTACTGGCGACAACCCCGACTAAATGCTGGCATTAGTGTGTGTCCATTCTGACTGAAGTTCAAGACAAGTAAGACTGGTCCATGAGGATCTGATGTTTGCTTCTGGGGGGCACAGAATGCTAAGGAGTATGGGGGAACTCGCTGGGTAAATGGCAGGCTCCAGGGGTTGGTGCCATGGGTGCACTCACTTGTCAGAACCCATCCCACCACGCTGAAGGTCTGTGCAGATTCCCGTGTGTGACTGGACTGTGACAAAAGAAAACAAAGACTAGATCTTAACCTTCATTCATCCGAGCAGGTCAGATGATAAGTCAGATGACCCAGCAGCACAGTGGGCATCATGCTGGTTTGTACGTGAACTGTAGGCATTTGTACAACATGCCCTCTCTTCCGGCCACCGCCGTTGGCCACAGAGGAACCTTTGCCAAGCTGAATCATTCGGGATTTTTCTTTATATCCCAACCCTGATTACAGCTGGCTAGACCGAAATGGGCGTCTGATGCTAGGTGAATAAATCGGTTCCTTCCCTGGGAAATCGGAAACCAAGAAAGAGAACAATAGATCCGTATGTCTCTAGTAGCTGAAATGGCTGTTTCTGGTCATGTTTTGCAACTGAGACTGGAGGACTGCATACATTAAAAAAAAAAAAAAAAAGTTTAAGAATGAGGCTGAGCTATGGAGAGAACCAGAAATGAGTTGAAGAGAGTCGAGGTGGAAAATCCATCATGCCAGCTGATCTTGATGTGAAGCTATGTCCCTAGACTTGGCTTCTGGGAGGCAGACACCCTGGCATATTCACCATAATACCCACAGCAGCTTAAACCAGTCTAAGTTATTTTGTTGTTTGCTATAAGCAGGTACTAATACACTATGTCTGCATGAGACACCAAGAAAAGTCCCAAACACGGTCTCTTCATTCAAACACATTTAACAAAGTAAGATAACGAGGCAGGCTCTTTTCTTTCTCTCTCTCTCTCTTTTTTGAGGTGCCTATATTGTGACAGGAAGTTCTAGAAAGTCCAAGTTCATATCCAAAATTAAAAGACAGAGAGAGGGAGATCAGACTAAAGCGTGTATAAACAAACGTTTGATTTTTACAGTTTCTAATTCAATACCTTAATTCAAAATCTAACACTCGTGGAGGAAACGTTTAAACACTCTGGTGTTACTTGGTTACTGTGCATGATTACTTGGCTTTCTTCTTTCACAAACCTCAAAGGTTAAAACTTTCTCATGATATGCTTCTTTCTTGTTTGGAACCATTTAAATCAAGTTATGAAAAATACTTAAAGCATGGGAAAATACTCATGACATGATGTTAAGTGAAAGCCCTATACAAACTGATAAATTCAGCATAATACCAACTGTGTTTTATTTATTTATTTATTTATTTATTTATTTTTTTATTTTTTAATCCTCACCCGAGGACATTTTTCCATTTTTTGTTCAGAAAGGGTGGGAGGGAGAAAAAAGAAGAGAGAGAGAGAGAGAGAGGGAGAGAGAGAGGGAGAGAGAGAGGGAGAAACATCGACGTGAAAGGGACACATCGAGTGGCTGCCCCCTGCACGACCCCAACCAGGGCCGGGGACAAACTGCAACCGAGGTACATGCCCTTAGCGGGAACTGAACCCCGGTCTCTCTGGACCACAGGCTGACGTTCTAACTGCTGAGCCAAACTGGCCAGGGCGATACCAACTGTATTTTAAAATGCAATCTGACCAAACTTCTAGATCCAACTACCAATTTACAGAAAATACAGAGAAATATAATAAACACTACCACAGGGGTGCATTTAGCAAAAACTGAGATTGTAGGAAAGTCTACAGACAAATAACTCCATTTTCCTGCAAGTAATTTGCGAAGGAGGGGGAAAGAGTGATAGAGGCCAGCCTGTGAAGAAAATGGTTTCAGAGGCATATTAAGCGATCACAGTGCACAGACTTATTTGGATTTCAGTTCAATCAAGCTGTTAAATACACGTACATCATTATGAAACCACTGAAAATATGAATACTGACTAGGTATTTCATGTTATTTATTTTTATTTATTTATTTATTTTTTATCCTTACCCGAGGATATTTTTACATTTATCTTCAGACAGAGTGGGGAAAGGGGGGAGAGAGAGAAAGAGAGAGAAGGAGAGAGAGACAGAGAGAGAGAGAGAGAGAGAGAGAGAAAGAGAGAGAGAGAAAGAAACATCGATGTGAGAGAAACACATCGATTGGTTGCCACTCACACAACCCCAACCGATGCTGGGGACAAACTGCAACCAGGGTACGTGCCCTTGGCCAGAATCAAACCTGGGACTCTTTGGTCCACAGGCCAACGCTCTAACCGCTGAGCCAAACTGGCCAGGGCTATTGCATGTTATTTAAAAAGTGCTGTTCATTTCCTTAGGTGTGATAATGGTGTTGCAGGTTTTTGCCTGTTTGCTTTTTAAGAAGCAATCATTCCTTACCAAGACGCTGGCCCGTTCTCAGCACGCCCACCACAGTGCAGCCTCCTCTCAGGTTACCTGGGCCCTTCCCTCTGGTCCTTGTCAGGCATGGCCATTAGCAGCTACATCCCCCAAGGAGCTATGCATCCCACTGTCCCTGTGCTCAGAGCCCACCAGGGGTTGGTTGTTTCAAATCAGGGTTTCAACCAACCTAGACCCTGCATCCCAGAGAGATGTGATCAAGTGGCCCAAATATAAGGAGCACAGGTTATGTTCTAAGCCCTCCTCCCCCACCCAGAACTTTCCTCAGGCAGCAGTTTATCTGGGCACATCGCAGGATGGGTACCACTGCAGTATGACTCCCTCGTCAAAAATAATCAGCAGAAGCTCACAATGGTGATCCCGAGGTCTGAACTACTAACACTACACTACATTTTGTTGATTATATTTGATGTCACTTAACAAAGAGTGCTTATGGATACATTTTATTACTTATGTTCAACACAGGGCTTGAAGCCAAAGGAGCTGTAATAAGTGAAAGGCCAACTGCCCTGGAAGCATCAAATCTGCTCACAGATTCTGCTCCATTTCCAGAGACAGGCAGAGGCCGGGCACTTGAAGATCAGGGCGGCGTGCAGGGCCTTGTCAAGGTCACTGCCTTCACGCACACAGGGTCACAAAGGGGTTGGACCTGCTAGCTCCCTCCCTGTTAGGGTTTTTAAGTGTCTAGAGAACAGAATGCTGGCACATTCTAAAGCCCTTCAAATCAACCGCCAAAGTGTGGATCAGGAATGCGCAGGGAGCTCAGTGGAGGACTCGGGCACGTGCTCGTCCCTGTGTCCCCTCGAGAGAAGAGCAGGTTCAGACAGCAGAGCCCGCTGCGAGCCAGAACTCTAGAGGTTGTCTCTTCCAACCGATCACCTCCCCTGGGCAGCGTCAGAATGATATTTAAACTAGCCCAAGGTCACAGTGGAACCTGCCTAGACCCCAGCATTTTGGAAACAGTATTATTTCCTTTGGACAAGCGTCAGTACTACAACTTGATCTGGACCCAGCTGACACACTAGGAAAGGAGCAAGACTTAAATGATCTCTTGGGGTGGTTCATCCGAAAAGTGTTAATCAGGTCCAGGCTGAGAGTAGACCAGCCTTGCTTGGGAATCAGGTTCCAAGTTAAGCATTTGACCTTGGTAATCAGCTCTACCTCTGTATTCACGTCTTCTGTCTGGAATTCCCTTCCTTCGGGTTTTCAAACCACATTCTTTCCCTTCCTTAGACAATGCATTAAAATCTCCCACTTCCAAGATTAAATCAAAACAATGTTAGGTTGATCCCCAGCACTCCAGCACTTCCAAGAAACTAACAAAGTTGTATTATTTCTACTAAGTAATATAGGAATTTGTTTTGTGTTTTCTTCAGAACATGTCTCGTTGGTTTAACAAATGGCTGTAAAAACAGGCTTAAGTTGGGCTGCTTACTAAAAAGTCAAGAAACTCCACAGACAAAATAAAATTACTGTTCAATAAATTGGAAGTAAAATCTACTATTCAATAAGTTGAAAGCAGCACAATAATAGTTTAGTAACATTTTACAAGCGCAAACTATTATAAACTCTAGGATGGTATTAATAAACCAATAAACCATATGATCACTAAAGTGTCAAGAT